AGAGAGAGGGTTTTCTACGCCTTAGTCCTGTCCTTCTTGGGAAGGAACCCATCTAAAACAAACCACGACGCGAATTAATGGCAACTTTGTTACCAAGAAGCAAGAATCAAGAGGAAATGTATGTTATGTACCTGCAAGGGGGGGATCGACAAAGCCCCATGTAAAGGGCTCTGGGTCGGGGCCGTGAACCATAACCTTGTCAACTACGATCTTACATCCTTCGACATGGCATTTGCATCCACCATTATTAAGCTCCACCGCCTTCTCTGGTCCCCTAATAAAAACGAGACATGTCCTGTAAAAAAAATCAACCAGAAACAAGTCTTTAGTAAATTAGCATTGAGATATAAGTTGGGAAAACTGGTTTGGAAGAAGAAGCCACAAACTTTTTGGGAACACCGGTTAAGGGACCAATAAGATGAGTGACCTCTCCACATGAAGAGAAATGTTCAAGCAGGGCCTTCTTGACAGCGTCCTTAGGAAGACAAGTGTCATATCCCGTAACGAACAACCTATATATATAATAATTTGTATCAAATTAACATGACAAGAAGAAGACATCTTATAATACAGATAGTAATCTTCAAAACAACTAAGGAATCTAATACTCACTTGCGTATTTTGAATTTGGGTACGGGGTATCCTTTAGGACCCATAATGAATTCATTGAAGATCCTATATAATAATTTGATCGCAAAAGATATATAATGTTATCAACACATGACAAGAAGAAAGAAAACATCTTAAATATATTCTCTACTGGCTGAAATATAATTATTTTGTATCTGTTTCGGGGGAATATATATTAGGTAAGCTTATTCTGAAAAAGGACTACATAACCTTATAGTTCTCATAAATTAAGTAAATAAATTGTTCTTTTTTTAAGTAAATACATTTTTGTTGACTATCATTTGATCCTCTAATTAGTAAATGCTTAGTGTGTGATTTAAGATTTAAGAAATGACATGTTATATTTTCTCACTACAAAAAAATTGGTGAGTTATATCACTTAAATAATATCATTTAACTGAATGACATTATTTTAAATTATTTATTAATAAATGATTTAAAATATATAAATTAACATCACTTATGATCAATGATGTTGTTAGTGACTACCTTAACATCAATTTAATAGAATTGATACAAAAATTTATTAGTTTACATCATTTTAGTAATATTGACAAAAAAATATCAATTTACATCAGTTAGATAATTGATATATTTGCTAATTCTTTGTTAACATCACTTGAAAAATTAATACAAGATTTACATCAATAAAAACTGATGCTAATCAAATTTGTATTTAAAGTAAATCAAGTTGTAACTAATAAAATACTCTACGATCTTGTTGTTGGTGTTATCCCACATTGACAATTGATAAAAAGTTCAAGACCATCTTTTCTTATAAATATGGGAGAGTGCCAAATGGTAAGATAGCAAATAATATTAATTGATTTAGAATTAGAATTTTTCTTTTAAATTTTTTAAAAAGTTATAGTTCAAGTTTAACAATGAACGTGATAGAATTTTATTATTATTATTTTTTGGATAAAAAAACGTGATATAATTATAAAATCAATGAAAGAAATGATATGAATATTCAACATCAATTATTAGAACCGAAACAAATATATAACATCATTTATATAAACTGATGTAAGTTTAGTTTCATTTTTTATAAGCGACACATATTAACATCAGTTATAATAAATGATGAAAATATTTACGTCGGTGTTTTTTATTGATACAAAATATTAGAGTCATCATTTTTAAAGTCACTAACAGAAATGATGTAATTTCATTTGTGTCAATAAAAAAATGATGTAAACTAATAAAATAAATGATACAATCCACTCTTTTTTTGTAGTGTCTAAATAACACACTATTTAATCAGAAAATAAGTACACGTTTTTTATGATACAAAATCGTTATTTTCCCAGATAACACACAAGTTTACCAAATCCCATGTTATTTATAAAATCATGAAATTTTACTAAGTGCAGAAATGCAATTTGTTAATCTGCGCGAAATCACCTTCTCTCTTATATACAATTATTCCTGAACTTCTCCGCATCAGATTGTTAGAATTGGTTGGGCATTATTTGACAAAAATCAAACGCTTTTGCTAACAGGTACATGTACTATCCCTTCTATCCATTCCTCTCAGGAAGCAGAAGTGGAAGCTTTGAGATTGGCAGTTATGGAAATGCATAGGCTTGGCTACAGAGGAGTAACATTATGTGGAGATTTGCAGTTGATTTATCAGACCCTGCAGCAAGATAGTTCTGGAATGAATGGGCTTACGTTAATGCTGCTTCCTTTTGTTGTACCATTGCAAGATATCATCAAAATCTCGGCGAAGTGTGATTTTAGATTTAAGCAAATCTTTCGAAATGCAAACACTTATGTAGATTTCTTAGCCAAGAATGCTAGATATAACACTCAAAGCTCATGTTGTAAATGGATAATGTAATGCTTTATTCAATAGAAAGATACATTGACGACAAAAAAAAAAAAACAACAACATGAAACAAGTAAAATTTAAAAATCCTCTATATATTAATTGAGGAGACACTAAGATGAAAAATTCTAGGTGTCACTCAATGAGGATTTTAAGGAACATATCATTTAAATTAACCTGTAAAAATATTTCAATTCAAATAATATGTCATGGTGGAAATCTCTACATATTTTTATTAATTTTATAACATAACTCATTAATACATGTTTTACAAATCTAAGTCCAACTAAATGTAATATTTAGACTTACTA